TTTTTTTTCATCAAAATCGACCTAAGAAGGCATAGTTTCTGCTTGCTTTCTATTACGTGATGCTCCACGTGACACTCCTCATAGTTAGATGATGCGCGTTGCAGACGTGGTCTGGCACAAACAGTCTATGTTACTAGCGAAAAGGAGGCGAGTTTCTGGACGCGGATGCAATCGCTGGAAACAGAAATTTATTGACGATAGGCAGGTGACCTCATGGCAACTACGTCCTTAAATTTGAGTGAGTATTGTACTTCCATCACACTTTCCTGCTCCAGTGATCACTCATTCTTCTTCTCTCTACTCTTTGGAGTTTTTGCCGCCTCGTGTGCAGCGAGAAGTTACTGCTCTGCCATGCTGGCGGCAAAGAGCCCGAAGCGGTTCAACTGTGTTTTCGTGTAAAGCGCCATCCTGACATTAATTGTTGGTCACATCATTGTCACGCCTTCCAGAGGAGGTGCTAGCTGGCGCTTACGATTTGAACACATCAAAACACGTATCGATCTAAAGAAGACAGATAAGTGCATATTCGGTTATGAGTGTGGCAGAAATATGATCCACTCGAAATGAGAACCTGCTCCAACATTTTGGATTGGAGGCATTAAAACATATTGGAATGTGTATCACTGCCTACTTATTTTCCGTTGATTAGACAGGCCCATATTATACTGACACGTTCAAGGTAAAGGACTTTTCAAAGTTTAGTTGATAGCACAGGTAGAAAAGTTAATTAGAGTGAACAGAAAGTTACTGGAACCCCCGTGCGACATCTGGTGTACGCCTGGTAACCTTGCAAAGCCGCCTCTCACGCTGTAGACAGCGGTTCACACTTTAGTGAATTAAGGACAGTTACTTCGCATCGGAGCCGAGAAAAGCCCTATTTTACGACGTTTGCACAATCACCTGGTGATCATTCGTCTCTGTTTACGCGCATGACATAAAATACAACGTTTGAAAATACCCACCAGTGGATGAGAACAGATTTCTAAAGTCCTCTTTTTCTCTTCTCTAGAGGTGCACGGAAAAGCGGTTTCTGAATGGGACTACATCCTAGATATAAAAGAAGAGACTTTGATTGCGTGGTGTCTGACGGTGAGTAAGTTGCCCAATTTCTACAGTCCTATTCTTTGGAACCTCCGTTCTCACCGCTACCGGGGGCAGAATAAATTTGAAGTCATTAGTCTGTAAACTCAGTCTTTTCCATTGTTACAAAGTGAAGCAGATATTTGTAAACTAAAAATTACGCAATCAGAGCCAGTTCA